ATTTAGCTCAGCGGCAAAAGCGCCTGCCTGGCAAGCGCAAGGTCGTGAGTTCAGTTCCCGGTACCGGAGAAAAACCAAAAAAAAAAAAAAGAAACAACACAACAAAGCGAAAAGCTATGCATGCAGTTCATATTCATTATCATAAAAAAGGTACAGAAATGTTCAACAGAAGAGGGTCTGGTGAGCGTATGATCACTCAGTCACATGACACCATGTGGGTCACCGAAATGCTGAGCGGCCTGTGAACACTACTTAGCAAGATAGAAAGACACCCTAAAACTGCATCAGAAGATCGTAACCCAAACGGATCTGCCCAGGAGGACAGCACGCAGACGGGTGCAAACATCAGTGGTACTTCAGGGCAATGTGTTCAGTAACGTAAGAGCACGGCTATTACCGTCACACTGCCCTGAGTTCAAGTTGAAGCTCTGGTTTTGCAAATGAGTTAAAAAAAAAAAAAGAAAAGTCAAATCAGACAGTGCTAACATATTTCCAGGTGGAATAATTTTTTTAAAAAAACCTCAGATTTGGGGGCTTAGAAATTTTAATTTCTAAGAAATTTCTAAGAAATTATAATTTCTAAATTCTAATTTCACTAGACAGAACTCTACCCTAAAATATCAAATATTTCCCTCATGAACCACCATAAGACCTCAAATATATCATATCTAAAACAGAATTTATCAGGTTTGAAAAGTTCTAAGTTGCCTCAGTTGGCTAAGCTGCCTCAGCCAGTGCCAAAAAAGGCTCAGATATGCACTCTCCTCCCGGTACCTGGGTCTGTCCCTACCCTCTGTCCCCCGTCACTAGACAAAGTAACTGACACCCACAACCTGAAGGGGAAGCAATCCACCTGGCTGTCGTTTCAGAGGTGTCAGTCCATGGCTGGCTCCGAAGCAGGACATCACGGCAGAGGGCAGGGACAAGCAAACTGCTTAGTCCATGGCAGACGGGAGGCAGAGCAGGGGAAGAGCACCAAGAGGAAGGGCCAGGAGCCAGACACAGCAGTCACAGTCGTGCTTCCTGTCCACCCAGACACACCCGAAAGGCAGCTGTGAAGTCAGTCAAGTTAACAAAATCCTCAGCCTCTTACTCATCATGAAGTTTCAAAGTAAATAAAAGAGGGACCGGGGATGTAGCTCAGTGGTACAGCGCCTGCCTGGACAGCACAAGGTCCTGTGTTCGATTCTCAGCACCAAAAGGAATAAAATAAGTAAAAGAGACAAGCATACCATAACCCTATCTAAAATTCTTCGGTAGCTGTCCTCAGATGGATACCATTCTCTGACACGACATCAAGGACTTCTGGATCCAGCCCTGCCCAAACTATCACCCAGCAGGCCTCCTCCCATTCCACCCGCAACGTCCGCCCTTCTGCTGCACCCACACTTGCCTTTCTCAGCCCTTCCTCCCCCTCCTGCAGGACCCTTCAGAACACAGTCAGGTACTATCTCTCTGGGCCCTGCTCCCTTCCTCCCTAGGTGATCTGCCTTTGTAAATAACTGTCACAGCGCTTGTCCTATTCTACTACAATTATTTCTTTACTCACTTGTCTTCCTTTCTAGATCCTGAATTCCTTGAGGGCATGGCTGACCTAACTTAGCCTCATATCCCGAGCACCTGCAACGGAAGACTAGTGCAGGAGATGTGCTCAGTAAACCTGTGGGCTTAGTCCATACATCCTGGGTCTGTAAAATACCAAGCTGAATCTGGCTCTTAACAGGTCTAAGTATTTCTGCAGCCACACACTGCGCTCAGAGCTAAAAGCAGGTCGTCCAACTGTAAAGTAAGCCTGTTTTATCACAGCCTGTGTTTTCCTCCTACCTCGCTGACGGTAGCACCTTCAACAGGTGCTCTCAGCTCTGCACCCTCTCAATTTTAATTTCCCCCAAGGGCCTCACCTGGAGCTTCTGCCAGTCTCTCTACACTCAGTATGCCCCTTACCTCAATTATCATCTCTATGCTCGTGCTGAATTACACCATCCTTCCAGCTGTCTACCGAGGCTCTTTTCACGGGTTGAAGGGTCACATCCAATAATCCCCAGCCCCACATACTCAAGTTCAATGCATAATCTCCTTCCTCTTGTGCTCCGAGAACCACTTCCCCTCCCAACGGCTCCATTCCTACCCCTACTCTCTCTCCACTGCCCGGGTCCGAAACCGCAGCGTTCCCTTCACCGCTCCACCTCTCGGAATCTTCTTAACCTTACGAAGCCCTGCGGAATGCCTCCTGGATTCATCCTTCCCGCCCCCTTTTCCTCATTTCACACCTGTGGTGGTGCTCTCCCTGCCTTCACTTTCTCCTCTGTCTTATTCATCTTTAATCACTGTCAAACCCATTTTTCTAAAACACTGGCTTTACCAACTCGGTCCCTGCACAGCTCGGAAAGCCTCTAATGAGTCACCAGTAAGGACTGTAGCTTCAAGGCTAAACCGTTGTGACAGACTGTCAGAGCCACGCCTAAGCTACCCCCTCTCCTCTTCCAGCCACCCACGCTTACTTCCCCTTCTGTTCAAATCAGGGGTTCTCAACCAGGAGTCAGTCTGCCCCCAGGGCACACTCGCACTCTCTGGATCCGCGTTTTGATCCTCACGATGAGAGGGAGAGGGGAGGACCACGCTCTGTGGGTGTGAGCTGGGGTTCTGCAAGCCCTCCTGAGTGGGGTCCAGGCCGAGGAGCCCTACTCTACATCAAGGCTCTCGTTCCTGCGCCACGCTATCGCTATGCCTTCACCCAGAATGCTCCCAGGAACCTGGAATGTTGCCTCTCGTCCCCTGAACTATCCATGCCTTATTTATTTTCAAATCCTGTTCTAGGTCTGTATCTCACAACTTTCAGCACCACCTGCATGCTTACGAGTCTCAAATGTTTATCCCCAGCAGTGTCAATTTTCTGATCTCAAGAATCCCTGATCTAACATTCTCCCAGACATTACAGGAGTGTCCCATTCAACACACCTGAACCCAGACTCCTGATTCCTCGTCTCCACGATTCCCGTCTCCGCCCAGCACACTTTCACCTGCTATCACAAAAGCCTCCTGAGGGGCCTCGCTACCTGCACTGTATTCACTACTGAGCACCCAGAATGGCCCATTCCACACTGTCGTGAGATCCAGCCAGAAGTTTGCTTAAAACCAGTAACAGCCATCTCACTGCCCCTAGAACAGAACCCAAACCCCTGCAGGCCCCATAGGACTCGGTCTCTGCCTGCCGGGCCCTTCCCTTTTCTACCTACATCTATCCCATGCTCCTGGTTCTCTAAGCTGCAAACAAGCCCGCTGACTTTCAAACGCACCCCAGCTCTTTCTAACTACAGAACCGCTATACTCATCTTACTCCCATTAGGCTGGCCACACCCATTCGTCTCTCTCATATACTTTACTTTTCCTTCCAGCTCTTATCATTTTCATTCCATATTTATCAGCACTTACCGTTTAGTATCTGTCTCCTCTGTGACAATCAGAAGTCCATCAAGGAAGGGACCATCAGGACTTACCCTGTCTTTTCACCATTGCCGGTGTACCATTTTGTTTACCACTACATACCCAATGACTAACACCGTGGGTTAAGAGTATATGGAATTAGGGACTCGAATTTGTAGAAGCTTAACTGCTGACAGTGAATGAAAAGATGAATGAATGAATCTTCCACTTACACTCCAGCTCACAGTATCACCCTTCTCTCAACTCCCACTGAACTTTCTGTCGGTGCAGTTTAAAATAGCTGCATTAAAAACAGCTCAGTTATACGGGGCAAGGCTCTTGTGCCACAATCTTCACCGAATCCTCTATTCCCAACCCATGGGCAAAACTGGCCCTACACAGACAAAAGTTGTACAGTAAATGTGGCTGTCTTTGAGAGCGTCTCCCCAAAGGTCATGTGGTGGCAACTTCATCCCCACCCCAGTATTAAGACCTTTAAGAAGTGATTAAGTCATACGGGCTCTGTCTTCATGGATGACGAATGCTATTGGTGTAGGAGCAGGTCAGTTACCGTGGGAGCAGACTTCTGGTAAAAGTTTAGCTCCCTTCCATTCTTCCTCTCCACCCCCCACCCCAGCACAAACACTCCTGCTGTCTTGTCCTCCATCTTCTGCCCAGGGATGAAGTAGACGGTACTCACTAAGTGTGGGACCGTGGACTTCCCAGCCTCCAGAACTGCAAAACTGAACTTCTTTCCCTTATAAGTTAGTCTCTGGTGTTCTGTTATAGCAGCACAAAACAAACTAGAACATCAGCAAACATGGAGGTCCATATTATCCTGTGTATTTTAATCCCCTAAGCAATCCTCTTGGAAGATTTCTTGAAATTCTTATAAGCCTAAGCTTGATAAGAAGCTGCATACAGCAGCTCAAATGTTACCAGAGAGACTCATCTATGTTTACATATCCAAGTAAAGACTCCGAAAATACAGGATTTTTTAAGGAAGGCTTCCAAAAATACCTAAGCCTAAGGAGCAGCAGCACACACAGGAATTCAACTGTAGATGACCTTATTTTCACAATCAGCACCACAATCTCAGAAGAAAAAAATGCTACACATTTCAATGTCTATTGTGCCTGCCTAAGTCTTATGCTGAGACCTGTCGTTTCCACAGTTGCACTAATAAAGCCGCCAAGGACTCAGTGTGTGTATCGCCAGTGCTTTGTAGGACATACCACGAAACACCAATATACTAAAGAGCTTTATACAAACCAGGAAGATTAGTAGCATAGGTCTATAGCGAATCAGGGCTCCTGAGCAGCAGGCCATGGAAAAGCAGGGTGTGATATTAACCAAATAGTAGCTGTTTGCCACTACTCATTTGTACACACTTATTCCTTTTGAACATTGAAAGAGCTCACTCACAAGCACTACAAGGCATTAAAGCTCAGGGAAAAAAACATACAAGAGAAAATTCTACTCAACATCTTGTTTCACTGAAAATTTGGAAGGAGTCCCCACGGTTCTTTTTATCAGTAGATCACTCCCTTCTAACTGTTCTTTAGGGGCATGGCTTGAAAACTACTGCTACAAAACTCATCTTTGAAAGACGCTCACCCACATTTCTTTACTTGCAAAAGGTCAGTGAAAACTAGGAACCACAAAGCATTTGTAAGAACCTAGAGCATCCATGCTACTAAAGTTAAGCCCACAGCTGACTAGCCCTTAAGATGGCATACTGAGTATTCAGATTTCAAAGTGATTTATTTACTTTCTCTGTTTAGTAAAAAAGTGACTGATAACCAGGGTCAAGTCCAAGTTTTATCAAACACTGCTATAAAAACATAAACAGAGAAAGAGGGCAAAGTAACAGGGTAACCGTGCTAGAGGCTGGAAAAGAAAAGGAAACTTGCTGAGGCTCAAAACACTCACCCAACAGTTTCTCAACCTCAGCACTGTTGATCTTTGGGGCTGAATAACCCTTTCCTGGAGGGAGGGGTGCTGTACTGCATGCTGTCCGCCATTCAGCAGCAGCCCTGGAACCCACTGACTAGATGCCTGGAGCACCTCCACCCCAGTGACGACAGCCAAGCATGTCTGCAAACACAAGCGCCCTGGAAGGTGACACGAGAGTGGGGTGCTAGGAGGCAAATGGACCCTGGCTGAGAACCAGTCTTCTAAGAGCAGGAGGAAAAAAAATCTGTACAAAAAGAAAAAAAGGATACAGACTGCAGCTAGGCAGGTTTCCTTTTTCTGTTTGTTTGTTTTTTAGGTACCAGGAATCGAACTCAAGACCTCGAGCTTGCTGGACAGGCACTCCACCCCTGAACCATATCCTTGGCCCTGGACAGGCTTCTTGAGGCATATCAAGGGTGAGCCGGTCAACTTGCTTTATTAATGGAGATGAAAATCCAACTCTAACAACCACCTGGCCTATCTAATGCCAAAAGACCTGACAAACTCCTAACGCTCAACTCGGTGTGGACGAAAGCAAGAAGGAATTCTAGTTGAAAAGTTACTGAGGAGTACT